CCTCTTGCGTACAACAATTATGGGTGCTGGTAAGGTATCTCCTTTCTCCCTTTGCTTCGATTTATCAACTGATGAATAAACAGGTGTGGTAGTGGCAATCGCGGCACGAAAGTAATGGATGCTATTGATGCATGTTGCAAGACTCACGATGGATGCTACAAGGGCTGGAATGAAGCGGCCTCTTATTATATCAGTGTCGATTATAATTGTATCAATTCTCAGTCATCTGATCAATACAAGGCATGTATGTGCGACAAGACAGCGGCTCAATGCTTTGCTAGAAATACCTACAATCAAAATATGAAAGGACGATGTGGTTAGTCTGATTCAGGTTTTCTAAGTGAAATGATATTCTTAGGCTACTAGCTCAGATGATGATTTAAATTGGTGAAAAGTTGAAATAAACTAAATGGAAACAAATATTCGAATAGTTTAAACACAAAATCTTGAGGATGGTTCAGTGTGAGTGTGCCGGTTAGGGACGGCTCATCTGGATCCAACGACATCCTCATGATTCTATTGAGAAACGAGAGACTAGACAAAACTTTTCCTTGGAAATGCACGACGACGCAGGTGTACGTAGGCGTGTAACAGCTACCATGATCTAGATTTCATCTCCGCAACAAGAATCATCAGATAGCACAGAAATTCTCTATGATTTGGAAAAATGACTAGAACATAAAAATTCGTTTTTGATCATATTGATTGAGCGAAAGAAATTTTTATGTTTGATTCGCGTAGTATTGTGGCGGTCATCGACAAAGGTAGAGTTGAACTGAATTGCTCAAGAGTTTCGATCTTTCTGTCGGATGATTGAGGGATGTATATTGGTCTGTGTGATTGGATGATATGTATGTGTGGTAATAGTTTTATTTCTATCTAGAATGAGGGTGGGGGTGTGGGTGTTGAAGAATATAAAACCCAAAGCACACCCACACCCTTTTTTATGCTGATTCAGAATATGATATGAGTTTTGACTGAATCGTCATCTTTCTAACTCAAATCGGCTAAATATCAACAAAAAAGCACAAATTCATTTCGTTTGTTAGCTAACTTGTTTTCAGTCAAAAAATATTTTTATTTGACGAGAAAAGAAATTTCTAAAGATATTTTCTGTGGTTCTACATTTCCAACCCTATTAGCGCTCATAAAAGGAACACTTTATTTCTTTACTTTATCGATATTTAATAAAGTAAGACTAAATAACCATCGCTGTTTTTTTTCATATGTTCTCAAAGGAAAGCCTATCTTTTTCCACATCAAACTATCGGAGTCAAATGAACCGGAAAAAGACTCAACAGATTTGAATCAGCTTCTCAAGGTAAACAATTCAATATGTAGTGAAAAACATCGTAAATGGAAGCTAGCCGCTGTCTTGCGAGTCAGTCATAGTTTATTGTGTTTCAGTGTCTCAGGAACTAAAGAATTGATAAATATAATTATGTAAATAGTAACAAATTATTCATTTATGAAGGTATAATTTATCTTGCATATTACACTATCAGCATAGTAAAATATATCATCACAATTGCAAAAGAATCGTTAAAAAGAGTAACACATCGAAGAGATAAACAAGTAGTCACTTAATCAGAATGTTTTTTTTTCTTTTCCATTCTTCGCTTTGTCTCGCTCCCAATGCTCGTTTAATACCATATGAAGCTGGAAGAAAAAATATGCTGATTATGTTATCGAGCTTTCTGATGAAAAATAACTCATTTTGACGAACGAGCTATAAAGTAAAAATGAAATCAAATGAAGAGCATTATAGTCATTTCTCGTTTTCAAGTGCATCAACGTACAACTAGATTACATTCAACGCAATTTAAATGTCTGTAAACATGTTGTTTTTATGTATACGAGGGAAATGGCTATCAAAAAACGCTGACGAACGAAATACTACCCTATGCATTCGAATTTCTCTATATGAATAAGCTTATTCGTATGTTATATCTAATAAAAACAAATCGAAACAAGTGCAGCTCTCAGATGCATGTTCGTATTTATAAATTTTAATCACGATCGACGAATCATTCGCCTCTTCACAAAGTCATTTTTTTTTTATACTTTAGACTCACTTTCTTAATTTTTGATTTAATATTCTTTCGTTCTGCTCTTCACTGAAACATGCTGATGCTTCTTCGTTTATTTATTTTTTTATGCCATTACTGATATACAGAAAAAAATTGAAGAAAAGAAAAAGAATAACAGTTTGTTTATCTTAGCGTTTTACCATTTTGACATGAACAACTTACTTCGAGCTAAAATGAACTAACTCGCTTTGATTCTATCGTTAGATTGTTCTCTTGAAGTTTTGTTATCGCATTTTGTCATGAAAAATATATCTTATTTGATATCATTGCTAATCAGAAACTTGATTATAGAATACTAATCAAAGTCAGTGAACAGAATCGTAGGAAATGATGGACGTGACGTTTAAGAATGATCAGGATTTGAAATATATACAAAACACATCAAGCATGAACGTAACCACAATGGAAGTAACTAATACAACAATGACAAGCACATCTTCATCAAAAAAGCGTTCTTTGAGCAATGCAAGCACAGCGTCAAGCAAACAATGGAAGAATGAGCCTGCAGTAGACAACGATGAAGAAGATGCAGCGTCTATTAAGAAAAAATTTGTGTGGAACGATAAATGGTAAGTGGGAAGTTATTTTGAAATTGGTTTCTACTCTATTGCTAAAATATAGGCTCGAATTCAAAGAAACACCAAAGTTGGAAGAAACAAAAATAGATACGAAGTCAACGGTGATGTGGTATCCCAATTTCATATCGAAGGAGGAAGGTGATGCTCTATTCGATCACTTGATGGAAGGTACTTGTTAATGCAACTATTAAAAAGTAGAGATTTTACAAATTTTCATTTGTTTATAGAGTTAAATTTTGAACATACTAAAATGTCAATGTATGGAAAACCTGTCAACTTGGTACGTAAGTGAGAAAGCAGAGAGAGAGAGAGATAGAAAAAAATATTTGGAGGTAGTTATCGAAGTTTCTCTCATTTTTATATTTGAATTTTAGCCTCGTCTTCAATCGCGGTTTGCAGAAGAGGGTTTAATCGTCAAGGAACTCATGCAGAAGCAGAAACAACATGTTTGGACTCCACCAATGCGGAAACTAAAAGTTCAACTCGAAAAGCAGCTCGGTAAGCATAAATCTTGAATAGCGCAAATAGAAAAGCTAAGAGAAGTCATAAAGAGAACTATGACTAATGGTTTTTTTTCTAGGTGTCGAATTCGATTTTTGTTTGGTCAATTTGTATAGGGACGGAAACGACTACATCGGTTTTCATGCTGACAATGAAACAAAAGGCATTATTGCTTCCGTGTCTTTGGGCGCCACACGCAGGTACAATTTTCCTCCTGTTTTTTTACTTCTTTCAACCTCAATATTTACAATATATATGTTGCTAATAACTGTCATTTATAGATTTGTCATACGACATCTCAGTTGTTTCGGTAGAGTTCTTACACGAAGTAAGCAGCCTTTGACAACACCCGATAAGAAACAGGTAATTTAATTTAATCTTTCTTTTTTCTTCATCTTGTTATGTCTCGTTACTTTTCAACTTCTTTATCGTCGAATTTACTTTTGACTTCAATGTCTCTCTCTCTCTCTCTATTCTAGTACGAATTTTCATTGACGAATGGATCACTCATCGTGATGTTAGATGATCTGCAACAGTATTGGAAACATTCGGTGCCAAAGGACAAAAAGGTTAAAGCTCCTCGCATCAATCTCACATTCCGCATCAAACGGAATAAATGAAGGTGAAAGGAGAATTTTCTGCTTTTGTTTCTCGATATCATCATGTTTTTTTTTTTAATTCGATAAAGCATTTTCGTATAGAATTTTTTGTTTAGCAATATAAATAATATGATAAATCATAAGTTAGTTTACGATTTATTTTATTTTTCAATGTTTTCATATATTATGTGAAAAAAAGAAAAAAAAAAGATATCTATATCATATTATTTACATTGCTAAACTCAATTTTATATATTGTATTAAAAATCCATGTCATTTTAAATTTCTTGTGAAAGCATTTTTTTTGTATTTCTGCGATTTTTGCACTATCTTTGCAATACAGATCATTTCATCAAACTCTAAAAGAATAAGTTCGCAACTGAATCTCAAAAGTTCCTTATTCTTACGGAAAAATAATTATAGATTCACTGAAATGACGATGTATTCATACTTGCCCTAAAGATTAGTTGTAATAACTTCAGCGAATCACATAAGGTGTTACAATTCTTCCGTGAAACCTTCTTTGAATCCTTTCAATTGACTTTTGGCATTGTGTATCACAGGATGCGAGTGTGGCTGTCGGTTTGAATTGCTGTTGGTATGGAGATGTAGAGAGAACACAAACCATTACATCCACAATTATCTATTTTTTACATTTAACTTAAATAAATAAATTATTTCTTTGACTATTTCGATTAATGGTAACAATAAGATTTTTGTCAGGTCACATCGTTGTATTTTGAATTTCTGACATGCATTATTAAAATTTCGAATGAAATTCTTGATTTTTTTTAATCGAATTAATTCATACAACGTTTCCATGGTGGTCTTATTTTCGAAAAATTCTTCGGCATTATTCCAAGATAAATCGTAAATTTTTCGCACGATTATTTAGAATAACTTCAACTGAATGATTATTCATTTTATCACTTTTTTCAATTATAAATTTATCTATCTTATCGAAAAATTCATTGATGTTTTGTTTTGCTAAAAATCGACTTCTCGAAATTTGATTTGTTAAAATAATCTATTATTTTCTCATCGAAATATTCTTCAATTGTTGTTAAATAAAGAAAAATTTATTCATTTAAAACCGATGCTAAAATTTTTTCGAATTCCTCATCTTTTTTTTTATTCATAACTGAACTTAGTAATTTATCTAAATGTAAAGTAGTTTATTTCGCTTATCAGCTACATGTAAATGTCTTTCAAATTGATTAATTATTTCTTTTTTATAATTCATCAATTCGAAATATAATTGATTTTCTTGTTGTTCTAATAGTTTCATCAGGTAGATCATCTAATTCATTTTTTTGAACTTTGAATTTAACTCGATTTAGAATGGTATGTATCTGTTCACCACGATGAAATTGAAATCGAACGTTGTTTTCTATATGATAGAATAGTCGTTTTACCTAAAGCAATATTTTCTTCACTATCATCCAACTGTTCTCTGTTCTGCAATCTTGTTTGGGGTGTGGGTGTTGTTCTTTCAGTCACACCCACACCCACACCCTTATTTAGTTTATCCTTCTATGATTGGGGCTCAATCCGGAGTGATCTGGTCATATGATAATCCAACAGCAGTATCAACTTTCGATGATGATCATCCTCTAAACGTTTCAGCTACTAAATGTCATGATCTATCAATATGTCTTTGGTATGCATCGCCTCTGATCAAATTTAGCAGCTCAACGAAATATGCTCTGCTTGGTGAATGGAATAAATGGACAGCTATTAGCTCTCAACGGGTTGTAGCCATAGACAATGAAATCGGAATCAATCTAGCACTTATAACTGTTCAAGGTTTACTTAGTGAAGTGGTTCCATTCCTGGTCTTTCATTCTACCTTATCGATCGTCAATGTAACTTGTCGAATGCATCCTGATGAGGGTCAGGCTCGAATTGTTGTTTCAGATTCGAAGGTCGGTTGCTATTAAATCAAATGAATAAAACTTATGATTTTGAAATAAAAGTGTGGCTGTGCGTGCGCGTATAGGTGTGGATCTAGATGTAAGCAGTAAAAAAAGCATTTCATACCTACATTCCAGAACCTCATCATTGCACATCCATCCCCTGAAACGCGAGGATGCTCGAAGTGTAAAGTGGTTTTTTTGAGTGAGATTCAATAAACTGATAACAAGACCCAAATTTCGATAGAAAAAAAATCCATCTCGAAAAGGTTAAAGACAATTTTCTTCGCGAGATTGAACATAAGAGTCTTGTTTTAATTAATGAAATTCACAGTAGTGTAGGGTTTAGTTCCTATACTTGTAATTCAGAGCATATAATAGTAGGAAAACCAATAGGAGTGTTATACAAAATGAATACTTCACAGATTGAGCAGTTGGATAATTTGGACAATTCCATCCTTTCGGTGGAGTAAAGATAGCTGGATCAAATTCTTCTACAACAACCGTATAGTTTGTGAACCACAAATCCTGATAGACATCAAAGAATGGTTGAGGAAGTGTATGCTGATAGATGATACGTCCATCAACAGTTGCCGTATCGATGAACCAAGTTACAATATACGTCGCACAATTCCATCGATAAGCTTTGGTTGTTTGATAGTATAGTGTTGAGTTGTATAAGCATAATTCGGCAGTCCAATTTTGTGACAGAGTGATCGGGTTTCCTGGGTATATAACACAAGATATTCCATTGGATGTCAAGCTGGCATAGTATTGGTATTTGTTGGGAGGAGCAGATGAGGCAAGAAGAGTATCGTAGGAGATAGGAAATGTTCCAGCAAAATAAAGATCATGGGCTCGAAATTTATGGTTGGTTGAATCAATTATTTGGTATAAGATATCTGCGCCAGCAGGCAAATTATTCAATGCATTAATAAATTGAAAATGCGCAGTTGCTGTCCATCTTGGGGGATAGATAGGAGGATCAGGAGGTATATCTTCGACATAGGGCTGACTTATCCATTTCTCTGATCTATCCGAAACAGGCGCATTCACCAGGTGGCTGGTTATTGACCATGTAGAGATAAAAACAAATGAAAATAGAAAAATGACCTTCATGAATACATTTTTTCAATAAATCTATAAGTAAATGAAAAGCATTTGCCACAAAAGGGTGAGTGTGGGTGTGGGTGTTATTCTTCTTTTGACACATCCACATCCACACCCCAAAACATGTTAAATATATCCATCTATATGATCCATGCAAATTCTCAAATTTCTAGATCGATTAATGTCATAGCAGTAGCAAATTCATTCTTTAAATATAGACCAATATAATTGATCAAGCTAAAATAAACAGCAATGGGAGTTGAAGATTTATTAGAAAAAAACGTTACTTGTAATTTGTTTGCCATTAATAACAAATAACAATAAATTCACACCTACCTCACATCCTCATATTTCAAACATATTATGCAAACTTTTGTTATGTCGATATTACTTTAGTTACATAATATGTCGAAATTAATATGATTAATAACCTTAAAGCACCTGTATCTTTCCAACCATAAGTACAGTAAAAATCGAATGTTTCGCTCTAGGCTCGGTAACAGCCGCTAATATTTTTACCTTGTTAGTTTAGCAGTAAGGTCTTTCTTTTGACACTAATATATTTGAGTTTCTCAACTTACAGTACAAACATCTTCATTGTTAAATACAATATACAAGCTCTCATCAGAAATACAATTAATATTGATTGGACGCTAAAATATTGAAAATCGTTAGAAATCATGAGAAACACTAACGAATACACGAAGCAAAAAGTATCGAGAAATAGAACAGAACCCAGATTGTTCTTTCTTTACTCTAGATACCATATCCTTTATAAAAATTTATATTGATTATCATGCAAAAATGTGCTGTTCCATATGAATATTTTCATTGTAAAACTTCCACAAGGGAGAAATTCTGAGAGATTTAATTTGACCGTGTCCCAACTCATTTCAAGCTCTTCTTAAAACGAAGTTTTTGAGCAGAATCAATGTATCAACAAATCCTTTATGTTTCTCACGTTTTTTTTAATGAAAGCCCCTTAATTTGGAATATTTCGATTCCAGTTAAGGATTTTATGCAAAAAACGTTATTTTTTTTTCTAGAATAGATCTTCCTTGAGAGAAAAATCTAGAATGAAAAATGAAGTAGTTTCTATCCTTGAATGCGTTTATGACTTTTCTCGATAACTTGTATATTTTTCAAACTATTCATATGTACTTTAAAATGATAATATTGATCTCTTAATAATTGATATTCAATTAAATTATCCAAAATAACTTCGGCTGAGCTTGCTTTTTCAATGGGATATTAAGAATGATTTATTAAAAAAAAGAAAAGTAAAAGACTGTTCATCTATTTGTCTATATAATTTGTAATACTACAGAAGAAAAGTTATATTGTCGTATCGTAGACGAAAGTTACCAACTGTCAAAGAAGTCGCTAAGATCCTTGTTTTTTTTGCACCTGAAAGATAATAGTTGATAAGAACAAAAGATGAATATTCAAAAATACCCTTCCACAAATTGTTGCTTGCTTATTTTCTGTTCGTTATTGAGATCAAACATGGCAAACATCTCTTTAGCGACTGTCTCTGGGACAAAATTGGTTACTGAGCCAGTAGGTTGGTATTTTTTCTCAAAAAGAAAAAAAAACAAATAATTCGGCGAGCATTACACTAAGAAAAAGAAGAATCTTACAGTTATCTCCAAGAAGTCCATCATCTCGTCGTAACTAATTCGTCCATCGTTTGACGTATCTAGTCTAAAAATGAAAGAAAGAAAACTTGATTAATCATATTTTTGGAGCTTGACAAATGGAGAGAACAAACTTTTTATTGTATTAGAAATTTCTCTTCCGTTTTCGTACTCTAATAGGTTTTTTTTCATTTGAATAGCGCTTTCTTATAGGCTATTTATTATGTCTAGATATTTGAAAGGAAACTTACATTTCGAACACAAGTTCGAGTCTACTATCCAAATCCTCTTTATTTCCCATGGCAATAATTAACACAAATTCACTGAAATCGATTGTACCATCACGATTCTTATCAAACACAGAAAACATCACACTAGAACATTATAAACGATTGTGATAAAATGTAATGAAATGTATTGACATACTGGGGTACATCAGTCTTTTCATCTTCTGATTCCATGAATGCTTTAGAACACTTAAGGAATTGATTTTTATCCATCCTACCCGATGGACATTGGCGTTTGAAGTCCTACAGAGAAAAAAAAATAACATTTTTCTAAAGTCATGTCTTTGAAAGATATTTCACTGCTTACATCATATATATCTCGTATTTCTAAAAAGAGACACAGAAAAGTTTGAGATCATAATCATATCTCAATTCTACTTACCTTCTTCAGTTAAATTACTACTGACTTTAAGTATAGCTATTTCTAATAAGAGAATACTTTTACCACATTAATTACAATAAATAAATAGAGTACCAAACCTTTATCAAGAAGTTCGTCAGATGCTCTCTTCGTGGATAGTAAGCTACCCATAATTTTGATGGACACAGTTGTTATTAAATGTAAAAAGTGAATATCTGAAAAATCAATTTGAAACTGAACGAATACTGTTACCTAGTATCTCAGTTATGCTATTTAGATCATGTTGTATGTGTTATTGTTATTATTTGTCTTGTTGAATAAAGTAATATTTACCGGTAAATTGACAATATATATATATATATATAGAAAGAGAAAGAGAAGAAAAAGAAACTCGAAAAAGGTCGATACGATCTTAGAATATTTGTGATATGAAAATATGAGAAGAAAAGCGATGAATAGTACAAGTGAATGCGAAGGCACAACACAGAGAGAACCAACGGACGTCAAACTGTAGAATTATTTCTGCGACATACATTTTCAATCTCGCTCTTACTGGAACTAATTATAGTCAAAGAACAGAAAAAAAAACGAAATACATGTGCAAATTGCTGTGATCGATAATGAAAAAGGCATGTATATATGAGTATGTACTTCTTTCTTAAACAAATACAATACGATACGGAAAAAAAAGAACTTTTGCACATTCTTTTTTTTTCTATTTTAAACAGGAATCATATAATGATGATTATTCGACTTGTTGGAATGACAATTTCATGATAAATCTATTTTATAAATGAACGAAAACGATCAAAAAGAATTGGTAAATTGTTAATAAAAATATACTTTGTTGTATTATAAGAAACCAAGCGACTATTGAATAGTGAAAGACATAAATTTTCTTTAATAAGATCTTTCATTAACATTGACAGTGTTCAAACTACACTACTATTATGTTTTATTTAATTGATTAGAATTCGGCATCTTGCATAAATATTTCTCTTGAAAACAATATAATTTATTTAGAAAACAAATGGAATCTAAATCAAATCGATATACTATTTTTGTTGTATCGTAGCTTTTACATTAAATTGATTTTTGATATGATTGTGTAAGATTTAATTATACATGCAGAGTTGACTGTAGAAGTTCCATACTTTTTTTCTGGAAAAGAACTAACGATATCCTTCAAATGGTAAATTGAATGACATTAGAAAGCAATTCAGCCATATGCAAACACTTCTTTCTACTTATATTATTTCATTGCATATTCTTTATGAATTTCGTCTAGAAGAGATAGGACTTCAGTATATATTGAATAGACTCTTGAGAATTGTAAGACATATTGAAATAAATCAGTAATTAATAGCTGATTTCTTCTCATTAATTTATTCCTCAAAGATAAAAGCAATCTACTAATTTGTATTTTTAGTTGTCTAACTGATAATTGTACATTTGATCTGCTGAGTTAGAAATAAAATCAGTAGAAGATGGCATAATCGTTGACATTTTTTGTTCCTTCTAGCCTACACAATATCAAGTCTGATGTAGGAAAGAAAAGAGAACAATCAAACATAAGATGTTCGGTGACGTATTTGTCGCATTAATAGTTTGTGTAATAGTAGGGTGTGGGTGTGTAGGTGTGTGAGTGATGAGAGAAGAAAACCACACCCACATTCTTCTACTGCAAAAAAGATTTCCAATTCTGTCAAATGTAGCATCTCGATACAACAGGAAAAAAAAGTTTGAGTCGTTTTTCAAGACCGTAATCCTGACATACCAGATGGATAGCAGTATTCAAGGACTTTGAGTCTGTGATTGGTTTTACTCTAATAATAAATATCGCGGATATTTCAAATTTTTCTACTGAATCTTTCTTTAGACACATCTAAGAGCTGAGGAATTAGTCTTACACGAATCTGATTTAAACAGTTGCATGTAATGAACACTTGGAATATTTTTCATGTGAAAATGTCATTAAATATGATACATGAAAAGATGTTTCATTTTTGTCTAGCTCTTCTAAAAAAGTGTTTGCATAGTTGTTCTGTTTACTTTCATCTTCATCTATATTCACCCTAGTTCAGTCAATTTTTCCTAATACTTCATTGAGAAAAAAGAGAATCTATTGTATCTGTCTTTGAAAGCATCTTTGTTTTGAAACTTGTGAATTACTTGATTGACTTTGGTTGGCGGCATGAATGGCCTTGGCTAAAACAGCTTGCACATTGGGATAATTTGATGCACACTTCGATCGATACATTGTTAGTAACTTAGTCAAGTATGGAAGAGCGTCTGTGAATAAATTCATTTCTAGATGGATTAAGCCAATGTTGTGTAGTATATCAGCAACTTCGAGCTGATAGTTTTCTTCGTCGAATAAAAATTGTTGTTGAAGATCAAGAGTTCGAGTGTAGCGTATTCGACCTGTTTACATGCCACGCAAAAAATGCTGGGACATTCAAAAATAGTTTTCCAATATTTCAATACGTCATTCAAATTAAACTTGACGAACATAGTGAATATGCTTATTGCTTAAGCTTTGATATTATGATGTATAAACGCAAAACTTGTTTTTTATGTAGACAAACAAAGAGAACAAATTGTCCAGCAGCGATTTATAATGTAACCTAGATGCATCGAGCTTTGGCATCATTAGGAGTTCAATTCAAATGTGGCATTTCATATTGTAATTTTTTCGATTTTAGAATACTTTTTCCCTCAAAAATCGAGGACAATAATACATGGATTCTGCGCCATATTCTGTGAAATTTTCAGATCGATTTGTTGTTATCTTTCTGAGTTTTGACCAAGATAACTACTACGTTGAAGACCAACTGTAAGGGTGTGGGTGTGGGTGTGGGTGTGGGTGTGGTTGTGGCTGTGGCTGTGAATGTGGGTGTGGGGTGTGGGTGTGGGGTGTGGGTGTGGGTGTGGGTGTATGGGGTGTGCGGTGTGGGTGTATGGGGTGTGCGGT